AGAGTTTCTTTTTTTTCTTTCCAGCAAGGTAAAGTGAGGGAAGCCGCTCACTCCTATCAGTCAGCTCTCCAGAAGTTTCCAGGAGACGAGCTGAAGACGTTCAAACAGCTCAGGGTGTGCGTGCTGCTCAACCTGTCACGCTGTCGCCGCAAGATGAATGTGAGGCTTGTTCTTACACACACATACATGCTGAGAATATTTTGCTTGTTATTTTGAAACAAATCTCATCTCGAAAACTTTATTTCAGTATCGATATATCGTTAATCTTCCTTACAGGACTTTAGCCTTGCTGAGGAGTTTGCTACCAAGGCCCTGGAGCTAAAAGCCAAATCTTATGAAGCCTTTTATGCCAGAGCCCGGGCCAAACGCAGCCGCAGGTAAACAGTGTCGTGAGAAATTGAATAAAACTAACTGATCGTCATCTTCTGAGAGTTTGGGTTCTTTGGATCTTCAGTAGTAGAACTGTGAAGATTTTATTGTTTGACATTTTTAAACTATTTGAAATTTAGACACGAGATTGCAGTGAGAAAGAGTTGAGTAGTTTTAGGCTCACTACCATGTAAAGAAAACCTGAGAGATAGAGTGACCTGAACTGTAAGAAGAAGAAGACATATGTGCTGTCAGGTAGGGTCTCATGTGTTTTAACTTGGCGGGGTGTTGTCAGTTTCCAGTTACCTCCATGCTAAGGCTCTACACAGTTTGCTAAGGCCTCAGCTACACAGGCCCAGAGACCAGCTGGCAATCACCTGTTAACCTCCAATCACTAGGAAAGCAAAAAGGGTGCTGGACCAAAAACCGTCTTGTGATTGCTTTGATTGCTAGAAGATTACTGCGGTCACTCATAGTTTGCATAGAAGATGCCAGCTTGTCTGCACTCAGTCACTAACTAACCACCATGTAGTGGTGAAGCATGAAAAAGTACAGCACAAACCAGAAACAGAGACCATTTCCCTTCAAAGTAAAAGTATTGCAACTTCCTGCAACCGCTTGCCAACCAGACACATTTTCCACTAGTGACGAGTGGTTACCGTGGGGTCATTGACTGGCACCGTTCACCAGAGAGTAAAGACCTCAAGCTTTGACCTAGCATTGCTTTACAGTCACAGTGACTGAAGGCATAGATTTCAGATGGAGGGACACATTTTTAAACCTGTTTTTTCTTTGTGAATGTGATTGCAGCAAATTTCAGGTAACCAGACATCAAAGATTGGAACAAACCTTCTAAACACTGACAATATGAAACCTATAATTCCGGAAACATTTTTATATACACATTCTCTGTCATCTTCTGTGTTTGTCCTGTTTTCACTCCTTGTCACTATCACAACCCAGACAATTCCACGCTGCTTTGGAGGACCTGATTGAAGCCAGCCGTTTGTGCCCATCCAACCGGGAGATTCAGCGCCTGCTGTCACGGGTCAAAGAAGAGTGTCGGCAGGCTGCACAGCAAAAGGACACTCATCCTCCATCATCTAATCACATCTATCAGCAGAACATGTCCATCAGCGAGGCCAGGTCTAGAGATTCAGGTTGTTTGCAGGTACAGGATAGAGAGGGGCTTACAGAGGAAGAGGAGGAAGAGGAGAAAGCAGAG